CTAATTGATTGGTGTGAACACTCCAAGGGGCACTGGGGAGGTCCTTGTTCAGGAACCGAACGAGGTGGGAAGCAATCCACGAGTACTCCCCCTAGATGGAGTTGGGTCTAATGAATGGGCCGCCACTGAGGGTCAGCACGCGCCAAGGCTTCCATTGCAGTTTGTGGTTTTGACAGCTCGTTACGAGATGTGAATGTTCTAGGACAACATTCTAAATGAGGTTTAGTGGTGGTCCCCGTTCGGGAGGCGAACGGAGCTCGTTTGTATTGGCTCTCTCGAACGGAGAGCAGGTAAAACACAGGAATATAACACAACACAAGGGAAGCACGGGGGAATAACACATAGCAATTCACACATAGGCAGTGGTCCCGTCACAAGGCTATTAACGGTCTGTGTGCTGGAACCAAATGAGGGGCTATCAACAGTCTGTGTGCTGGAACCACATGTGAGGCTATTAACTGTCTGTGTGCAGGAACTACATGTCAGGCTATTAACTGTCTGGGTGCTGGAGCCACTGGATTTTAAAGGCATCCTAATTCTTGATTATATTTAACAGCTTTAAAAAAATATATATATATATGTATATAATGCCAAAATACGAGAGTATTGCAATATGCAATTATACTTTTTTTTATTGGACTAAAATAGTACATAAAAGAAAAGCTTTCAAGAGTTTTCTTATCTTTTAAATATATATATATATACACTGTATATATAAAGATATATTGATCAGCCACAATATTGAAACCACCTGCTTAATATCGTGTAGTCCCCCTTGTGCAACCAAAATAGTTCTGATTTGTTGAGGCATGGACTCCACAAAACCTCTGAAAATTTACTGTGGCATCTAGTATCAATACATTAACAGCAGATTATTTCATATTTAAGTCCTGCAATTTGTGAATTGAGGGCTCCATGGATCTTATTTGTTGTTCCAGCACATCCCACAGATGCTGAATCAGAACTAAGATCTGGGGAATTTGGAGGCCAAGGCAATACTGTGAACTCTTTGTAATGTTCCACAAACTATTCCTAAACAATGTTTGCAGTGTGGCAGGGTGCATTATCTTACTGCCATCAGTGAACACCATTGCCATGAAATGGTGTATCTGGTTTGCAACAATCTCTAGGTAGGTGGTATATGTGAAAAGAACATTCACATGAATGTCAGGACCCAAGGTTTCCAAGCAGAACACTGCACAGAGCATAACAATGGCTCCACCAGCCTGACTTCTTTCAATAGTGCATTCAGCTGCCCTCTCTTCCCCAGGTAAACAACGTACATGCACCTGGCAAGATGCCTGGTCTAAAATAAAACATGATTCATCAGATCTTCTTCCATTGCTTCATCCTTTATGACTGATGCTCACGTCTTTATTGAAGGTGCTTTCAACAATGGACAGGGGTCATTATGGGCACTCTGACCGGTCTGCGGCTACGCACCAAACTGCAATGCACTGTGTGACACCTTTCAATCACGGCCAGCATTAAAAGGAACACTATATGCACCCAGATCACTTCAGCTCATTGAAGTGGTCTGGGTGCATATTCCCAGGTCCCTTAACCCTGCAAAGGTAATTATTGCAGTTTTTAATAAACTACAATAATTACCTTTGTGGGTTAACTATGCATGAGGGCATCCAGCTTCACCTAAAACCCTATAGGAAAGTATTGTATAATGCTTTCCTATGGGGTAATGTGAGCACAGCAATTGTGGCGAATGTGCATTAGGTCTCCCCCACCGGCTGACATTGTCACTGGACGGAGGTATTTTAACCCCATCTGCACCACGGGGAGGGAGAGGGGACTATAGGGAGCTATACTGCCATGTATACAAAGTTGTATTCCTAACACTATAGTTCACTCTGGTCCCCGCTCCCTCACCACCCAAGGCATGGAAAGAGTTAAAAAAAAAAAAAATTGTGTACTTACCTGATTCCAGCACTAATCTTCCTCGGCGCTGGGACGGTGCTCTGCCTTCTCCAACAGGGGAGATGGGGGGATAATGCGCAGGCGCAGCGAGCCCATTAGGCCCTACCCATAGGAAAGCATTGCTTCAATGCTGTCTTATGGGGATTTTACTGACGCTGAATGTGCCTCTCGAGGCTGTCTTACAGCCACTGGAGCAGTCTTCATTGCAGTTACTCAAAAACTGCAATGAATTACATTGCAGGACTAAGGGGGACAGGGCCACTGCACCCAGACCACTTCAATGAGCCGGAGTGGTCTGTGTGCTTCTAATGTCCTTTTCGGTTTGTCAGTAATTTTTAGCTACAGTAGCTCTTCTGTGTGATCGGACCAGACGGGCTAGCCTTCATTCAAGTTGTCCTTCCTTGAATCACTTTTGGTAGTTACTAACCAAAAGTGGTGCAAGGAAGGACAACTTCATACCGGGAACAGAATTACCATTTTGGAAATGCTCTGACCCAGTTTTCTAGTCTTCACCATTTGGCCCTTGTCAAAATCACTCAGGTCTTTCTGCTTGCCCATTTTTCCTGCTTCCAACATATGAAATTCAAGAACTGACACTCGTTGCCTAATATATCCCACCTCTTGTATAGTGCCATTATCAATGTTATTCACTTCACCTGTCAGTAGATGTAATGTTGTAGCTGATAAGTGTGTAGCCGGGTGCAGATATTAGCAGGGACAGTGTACATTGAGAGGCACATCCAAGTTGCTGGTATTGTGTACCATAATATCTGCACAGAATATGGGCTGGATTTGCCCAAGTCTAGATGGGAGATACCACAAAGGGTAGTTGAGCATAAAAGGGGTAAGATCCTTGGGATTTTCATATCCAGACAGAAAAGCAAAGAGTGGCAAACCAACCTGACATCGTGGTGGCAGACGAGGAACAGAAGACTGCAGTGGTGATGGATGTGGCAATACCTAGTGACCATAACATCAAGAAAGAGGAACATGAGAAGGTGGACAAATACCAAGGACTGAAAGAGGAGCTAAAAAAAGATGTAGAAAGTAAAGGTAGTAGTAGTTCCAGTTGTGATAGAAGCCCCACTCGGGCTGTGACTCACAAGTTGGGGGAGTGGCTTCAACAGATTCCAGGTGTTAGGGGCTGTGACTCCCAAGTTGGGGGAGTGGCTTCAACAGATTCCAGGTGTTAGGGGCTGTGACTCCCAAGTTGGGGGAGTGGCTTACAACAGATTCCAGGTGTTAGATCTAAGATCTTTATCCAGAAGAAAATTCTCAGAACCCTCAGACTCCCAGATCTCTGGTAGAGGAAATGTCAGACACACTTGAATCCAAGAGGGCTGCTCTCACCTCAGCATACACCTATAACAAGGGTGCAGCTGCAGCAATTCTCACATCATACAAGATCCAGATCCAGCGCACTCACTCATTCACTAAACAGCAACTTGAAAGCGCACACAATGCAAAAGTTTTTTGTTTTTGTTTTTAAACACCTAACTTAGGTAAAAATAATGTTTTTTTGATTACAGCATTTGATCATACATTGCATCAGTCTTACACAACACCAATCGACCCCATTTTTGATATATATATATATAATAAAACAGAATTTATTGTGGGATACACCACCAGGTTACAGGCAGCATGAGGCTTGCACAGAACACGCCACTCCCTCCAGAGCAGACACCTGCCTACCGGCACGTTGCCGCATGGCTGGTGCTGTGAATGGCTGCAGAGGAGGTACCAAGGACGCTGCTGGAATATCTTTGCATTGATTTTCCATGTCCCTTGCACACTTTGTACCGATCCTGGAGCCCTGGCCTCAGTTCATTGACTGATCCCAGCAAAATGCCACTGGACACCAGGGAAGACATTCTACTCCAGCTCTTCCTTAAGATAAGGAAGGAAATGGACATCACTGTAACCCTGCCACAAAATAAATAAATAAATAAATAAATAAATAATGAAAATTAAAGGACCATTCAACACACAGTATACAATTGCTTGGTGAACTGCTTTATGTGCATGGAGTAGCCCATTTAATTTTTACATTATGAAAGTATTGATTTCCGTGATAAACTTTTATAACTACATTCTGAAACGCCTCCTCGGCTATCAAACAGCCAGGGAGATTTACTTCCTCCCTTTTACTAGCTCCCTTAAACGAACGGAGTTGTCAGGCATGCTCTACTTGAGAGCGTCAGCCTTCTCCCTCATTTAGCTTACACACTATCTCAGACTCTCTCGGGTTCTTCCTGAACACGGTTGCAGTGCATGCGCGCACATAAGTCAGAGAGTCAGAGGTTTCTCAATGAGAAGCCATTTCCCCGTAAAGGGACAGAAAATCTCTTCTAGAGAAGAAGTTGTAAGAACTGCAGCTTTCACAAGCACTTTTAATATATAAAGCCAATGACAACATGCATAATAAATATCTATTATATATCTGTTAAATGTTGATTTTTTTTTTATAAAAATAAATATGATCGTGGAGTGTTCCTTTAAGTGTGAGTTTCAATTATGACTATGAATATGTGTGTGATATTTCCCTAAAAATAAAAAAATTATATATATATATATATATATATATATATATATATATATATATATATATATATATACACATACACACACAAACATCTTTTGTTCCTGAGAGATGCACATTGTCTTGCTATTTAATGTTATTAATATTAATCTAGCAAATAGAATTTTTCATTTCAAGCAGTTTGTCCCTAAGACTAGCCTGTATTGCTGGCTAACCGAATAATTTCATTGATATTTTTCAATGTCATTTACTAGGTTATATTTGTCCTTTGCTAAAGTCTCCAATATTCCAGAGCAAGGTTAATCACGTCACTGACTTGAAACCAGCAATATTGAGCTATTCAGTGACAGCAGCTGTTAGGAAGCTCTGCTGAGTCGGGATGCTGAGGACGTAGCTCTTCTCAAGGCTTGGCAAGCTGTCATTGTCACTATAACAACGCTCATCAACCTCCCAACCCAGCAGCAGAGGCTGGATGTGTTTCCCTTTTAAGAGCACTAATCTTTGCCTTTCCCCTCCCTTTGTAATCTGCCAGTTTATTTTCTTGGGGGCTGTGTACAGCTCATCGCTAAAGGAAACAGCTTTATTTCCAGGAGAGAGGCAGGCGGGTGTTAAAACCCTGTTAATCGGCTCAAGATAATTTGCTACGGAGGAGAAAAAAAAAAAAAAAAAAGAAGAAAGAATTAGCTTAAATCTACCCGGCTTTGAACCAGAGCTAGAAAAACAGAACGAGCAGGAATTGGCAGTGATGCAATGCAGACAATCTGCGGAAAAATGATTCTGCTGAAGAGCAAAGAAGGAATGAAGACACAGACCATCAACAAACCAGGTTGTTGATTTAAACTGCTTTACAAGGCTGCGAGCAGGGTTACAGAACTGCTTCAAGACGGACCGGACAGTGGATCGCAGGGTGAAAGCCCGGGGAGTCATGAAGGACAAAGACTTTATGCCCAATGCTGAAAGAGGTAAACCAGCTACTTATACCGGGGATAAAAAGGCAAGAATGGCAGCCAAGACCAACCAAAAATGGATGAGACTTGCAACAGTCTTTGCATATGTTCTTTCCGTGTCAATGGCAGCTATAATTCTGGCTATTTACTACAGCCTAATATGGATGCCGGTGAGATCCAGTGGAGGAAATAGTAGCAATGCCAACCTGAGCCATGAGGTAGTCATTGTGTCTCCAAATCAAACCACGTACACCCAGGCGGTGATCTCGGAGTCTGCCGACACCGTTCACACCACAGAAACCAAGAGTGGATTCAGGCGTGAAAAGAGATCACAAGAAAATCCTAAACGCTCCAGAACAGAGGAAATACATCAGACTATTGGGAATACACACGAGCCGAGTACACCTGGACAATCAAACCTTCAAGAAACGGAAGAACAAGAAGACTCCATTTCAGAGTTGGTTGACAACCCTAAAAATAAGGATGGAGAAGATACCAAAGTGGTAACATGGTCAGAGAGGCGTTCGGTACATTTAAAAAAGATGACAGAAAGAGAACAACACTGGAGATAGCCAAAGATTAAAAGCACTTTCATCTAAGGGAACATTTGTATCCATATATGCATGGGGGTATGGATGCCAACATTAAACCCAACACTGCTAGCAAAGCCCACAATGGATTGCCGGCTAATCTGTCAACACAGGGATTTAAGTAGCATCAACCTCTTTGGAACAATGTGAGCCAATAACTAGACTAAATCTGCAATTTTTTGCCTTGCATGTTGTTTCCTTATCTATTAAATTACCTTTTCCCCAGCTGGCTTAGAGACACAGGAAAGGCAGACACAGACTGAAACTAGTTATAGCGGATGGGAGAAGAAGAATATTTATTTTGTGTCCCCAGTTCTTCTGGTGCAAGTATCAACAGTTTATAAAGATGTCTCCTTAATGATTTATTACTATTCAGTTTGTTAGTGCGTTCTGTGCCCGTAGACCATGCTTGGTCATAGTGAAAAGTGTTGGTTTTAGTCAGGAGCCAAGAGATTATTCAGGGATATAAGAGCTCTTCAGACATTAACCAGGCCTCTTCTTTGCTAGCATGGATCTCAACCTCAGACACTTGATAACCAAGAGTGCCAAGACAGGCAGGGCTAAGTTATCAAACATGGTCTAATATTTTACTAAAGTCCATATACAGTATACCAAGGCTAAATGAAAGAAGTACAAATGAACTACACAAGCCAGGTATAAGTCTGAAATATATTTAAAAATAAAATAAAAAGGTCCATATTGAACTAATGGCAGTAACATCTTTCTGAAGGCTGAATGCATTGGTAGCCAATATATTAGAGAAAATATCAAGAGTATAAACTAAATTTATGCTGAAATGTATCAGCTATCTTTATAATTAAACAATTCGTAGGTAGCTAATTTTAGTACGTTTACATACTTATATGCAAACAAAATCACTGATAAGTGGGACTGACGTAAATGGATTACATGTGATTAGCTGATAAAGTAAATAAAGTATTTCAGATTGCAGGTGAAAAATAAATTCTAATTTCAATATTCCCTTTGTTTTTCTGAATTGAAATTTTTGTCAGCACAGATTTTTTTTGTCCTTTAAAAATTGTTTTTTTTTTTTTAAAAAAAGGGCTTGCACAACCATGCATCATAATTATGCCACTGTCATTAGTTTAATCAGTGTGAGGCTTAATGCCAATTAATAAAGGACAAAAACAAATCGTAAGAAATTTTATTTTACAGTTAATTTTTATTACCTCAAAAAATCCAGTCGACGCTAAGTGGGCAGGCAATAGGTTCTATTTCTGGCATCGGAAGGGTTAATTATGATCAATTAATCATGAATGAAAGAAGTTTTATTTTATATATTAAGAGATTGAAACAGTCATTGTGGATATCACAGCACTATTTCATTTTGATAGGATTATATTTTTTACAGGGAGTGTTGCTCAGGTATGTAAACAGGTCAATTATACACAAATGTATATAAGGTGTACCGTGTATATAGCTTGCATACATGTATACTCAAGCTGTGCTAGTAGATATGTTTATAGAAACTGTTCTGAAGCGTCTGTGCTGTAAAGATCCAATGGCCTCATATAAAATCTCCTTGCACCCTAAAACCAGTCAATGCTATTGAAATTTTCACTGGTCTGGCTAGTGTAGCAAAGATACAAATATTTCATTCCGGCATTCCTAATATCCTGCAGTAGGTGACCACGCGTACGACACTGTACGAGTTAGATTAATTTGCATAGAATGCCTTGGATGTGCCACAACAGGCATATCATTTAAATGGAGAAAACACAATTTGGATTTATTTAAATAGTAATAGCGTTTACAGGCTTATTTATTAAAGTGATTTGAAAGTTAATTAATATTAAAGAGCATGTCCATCATATAAGCTGAGTGACCAATGCAAGTAAATTTTTAAAAATTATTTGTGTTTATGCAACAACGGTGGTAAATGTAAAAAAAAAAATTGGGTGCATAAGTAGGAGAAAACAATAGTCACTTGTCTAATTGCTTAAATGAACAGTCTAATCTATGCCCAGGTTAACTGTAATAAGATCAGGGTAGTTTAATAGGTTTTGGTAACTTAGAGACAGAGATAGGACTAATTAATAAGATGTTTGGAGATATGTCTTGTAGGAACCTTCTGGAAACGATACTTTGCATGATTCATTTTGTTTTCTTTGGCAGTGCAGAGATAAACAAACCAGCTCTCTGTTATGTGAACAAATGGCCATTCACGTATTTATCTCGATGACGCTGTCTCCAAATTATACTATATCCTAGATCAGTAGGATTTAGCTTTTTAGTGTCAGGGACCCAAATTATGTCCCAGTATTTTTAGTGTCAGGGACCCAGTATTTAATTGGAAAATTAGCTCAGTGATCCATTCTTTAAGAGTAATATGATTACATGAAAATACATTTCGTAAAACTCCTTAATTAGACTCTTCCTGGTTTCAAATTGATCTACAATGCACTAGGGAAGGCAGGACTGTTACAGTAAACAACATATTGTGAGCAGTTGCCTAGGGGACCTAAATAATAATATGATGTATCTGTTCCAACTAATTGGAACTCACTAAAATGTGTTTGTTTTTAAAACAGAACATACTAGGCAGTAACGTACAATGTTCATATGCACCAGTGATGGTTAAACTTTGGCTCTGCAGCTCATCCAGCCATTGTTGCAGCTATCCCTGTCAGGGAAACTAAAACAATATTTGAGAGACATGGTTTGCCTGAGCAATACAGGCCTAACAGCTGCTGTTGCAAAAGTTAGAATTCAAACAAAAAATATACATTTATGTCGAATTTAAAAGTCTTAGTGTTCCATACTTGCTAATTTTGAAAGACTTCCTAAAAATGTCTCTGCATAATTTTCTAACACCATGTTATAGCCTTTGGTGATATCCTAAAGCTGCCCCTTGGTATCTCTCCATGTGATAATGTTTTAGTTGATGTAAATTTATATGTTACAATATCTGGTGCATTTCCTAGTGATCTGAGGCTGAGATTAAATGATATATTTGTATAGTAATGCAGAATATGCTAGCATTTTAATTAATAGTCTATGCATGCAATAGCTCTCTTCGATCTCTGCTTGGTCTTTTGAGATGTTCTTTTGAATTAAAGAGTGAGAAGTTGGGTTATGACATGGTATGACATAGAGTGCCGTTAGATTCTGATGCTAACTAGCATGGGATCAGTGAAAGATATGCCACTTGTGTTCGTTTGTAAGACATCATTTTGGTTGTGTTGTGAAGAAGGTCAGGTTTCAGGGTAGCCAATTTGAGGCACTCCGTATGACATTATACTCGAACTTTATCATGCTCAGTTGCTCTCTAACTTGAGTTGTATAAGCATTAGTACATATAGTTTACATTCTGTTTCAAAGCATTCTAATGGAATTTTTTTTTACCAACGGGTATATCCGAACATTGGAGTTTATTCAATAACCATGAAATTGTGGAGACGTGATCATTTTTATATTTGGGTAATATTACACTCCAGGAGTTATGCAAAAGTTAAAAAATAAAATGAAAAGAAATACAGTTTGAAAAAAATTAGTAAATATCAGAGACTTTTGCACGGTGAAAACAAAAATGTTGTTCAGGTCTGATATTCTTTCATATAACAATTCGGTTCAAACAAATTTCGGCCTTGCAATAATGTCAGGAAAACAAATTTAGATGAACCAACATGAAGGATAACAAATGAGCCATTGTAGTGCAAAATATATACATAATATAAATATTATGTGCATAGTTTGCAAAATACTGAAAGGGGCATTTTCCCACCATTAACAGATCAGGTGAGAAGAAGTAGCCAAAAGAAAAAAAACAAACAAATAAAAATGAGCAGTAACAAAAAATTATAAAAAAAATATAAAATACAAAACAATATATATATATATATATATATATATTTTTTTTTTTACACTGCTCCTCCTTTCTTTCCCTCTATCAGTTAATGCTCAATTGATTTTTTTGATGCCAAAGACAAAACCGAATGCACAAATCTAGCAAATATATAAAATATGTTTTTGGTATAGAGTTTCACTACGCTCACAGCCAGATCGTTTTTCACTATAGAAGACTTAGGAGGCCAGGGCACCTTGTAATAATAAACCGAAAAAAGATAATTAAATCTATTTAAATATGCAGGTGTGGGCAACAGGTAAACTGTACCTGTTTAAAACATACAGCACACATAACACTTTGCCAGTCTGTAGGCAAACTCTTATACCCACTACCCATGTGTAAATACTCGAGGTAAAGAACATAACAATAGATTCTGGATTTCAGAATGAAAAGATCACGGAGATCTTTAGGTTACTATCAAAAGCATTTTCTAGAACCAACCTGGGTTTGCTAAAATCAAGTGTAACTCCAGTATTTGGGTAGCACAGTATGATGAGAGAATTGGATGATTCAACTTCCTATAGTCAAATAACAACCAATGTGACTGCAGAAGCCTCTTGTGACACAGATATTGCTGCTTGCATCATCACACATTCACTCCTGCCACTGACAACACAAGGCGTTTTTTTGAGAAACAGCCATGCCACCAATTTGCGTAAGGATGTTAGATAATCCCCTTAGTACACCTGACCAATATGTAATCTTTTCAAAAGCAGTCTTGCAACATATGGAATAAATTAAAACTAACCAGTCGCATGTTTGATTACAGGTACAAAAAATAATACATTATTTATGAGATAAGGTTCTGCCAAACCAAAGCTTTATGTAATACATTTCCTTTGGTAAAACCTAATGTGTAGTGATCATAAAAAAGTTTATCCAAACACCAAATTAAGTCATTGAGTGTTGTAATAATTTTTCAGTCTTCATGAATTCACAAAATCATATTCCAATGTGAATTCAGTCGCCAGATTGGCAAACAGATTTTGTAAGATGCCACTTTAAGTTCACACCATGGGATTTAATCATCAAACAATGAGTTTGACAGCCAACTAGCACATTTTGGAACATTAAATATCAAAAATAAATTTTTTATTTTTTTTTAAATCTACAAACTATTGACGTTCATTGGTTTTACTTTAAATTTGGTAATTAAAAAGGAATGGACTAGAAGCAGCAGATTTCACAGCTATTTTTTTAACCCCCGGATCAGAAAATGGCTTAGAATTCACAATTATTCTCTACTATTCCAAATTTAATAAACAACCTAGTGAGATTTGTTTTCCCAAGTAAATTATTTTCACCTTAATATAGCTGTCACTTATCACAATTCAAGGTTAGTGTATACAAATTCAGGAGATGTAAAGCTTGTTGAAATGTCATTATTTATATCTGTATAAACCTCATATTTCATGCAAAATGCAATTTCTATGAAGTTTATAAATTTATCCCTTTGAGTAAACAGAAGTGTTCTAAGAGCAATACGTTTGATCTGCCTCTAGCACACAAAGTGTTAAATCCCATTCTGCTTTTAAAATATTTCTATTAGAAGGTAGCATTGAAAATTGTTTCAGGGGTAGCTTGGCAGTAAAACGTTGCATCTGTAACTGTCATGCACGGAGTCGCATTACACAGGCATGCTTGATGCATTTTTTTAAACCATTGTGTGTCCAAGATGGCCTGCAACCGGACCGCACAGCAACACCGCAGGCTGCCGTTAACCTTGAAATAAAGCATCCTTTTCTAAGCATTTAGATAAGTTATGTTTCTAGGCCTTGAAGAAAAATGCACTCTTTTAATATACTGTTAAATAATTGTGTACATATCTAAATTTGTACTTTGCAGAGACTTCACACATTTTTATCCTCCTTTTTGTGCTTTAGAAACCGCTGTATATCTTGTGATTTGTTTTTTTAAGGTTAACAAATACAGCTAATTCTATAATAAAAGAAAAGTGTACTTGTGATTTCTTTCTATTTAATTACATGTTTATAAATGTATGATTTATTTATGGTTTCAGTAGACAGCTTGCATAGAAGAAATAATCTAGGCAGAGAGCCATATCCCATAAAGATTTTCAATTATGTTAACTGGACTGTGGACTCAAGGGATAAGATCTAGCTGTATTCCCAGGATATAGTCTTTCAGTTTGCGTTGATTAATACGAACATTGACTGCAGGGGACCAAGACAACTTATTTAAAATATGCTTTGCTGCGTTGGGACACATTGCTCTGCCCTAGTTTTTCAGATCAGCTGAAGTTATGCCTTTCGCATTCCACATGCTTTCCTGGACACATCCTGGGGGCCGGCAAGCAATGTAATGCTCATAAGTATATAGCGTTCATGTGATGCAGGGAGAAAATCACGTTACTAATCAAGGCTGTTTTTGGACTCCAACTTGATTAAAGGGAAAGCATAGTGCCGGGAAAACAAAGTTGTTTTACTTGCATTATAGCTCCCTACAGTGTCCCCCTCCCTCATGGCCCCGTCCATGGTGCAGAAGGTCAAAAAAACCTTCTGTTCCTTCCGTGCTCGCATTAATATTTCTCCCATAGGAAAGCATGTATAATGCTTTCCTACTGGGTTTTACATGACGCTGGATGTTCCAATGCATAGCGTGAGCACTTTCTACTGCTAATATCTCTCCCATACAACCAATCATTCTGCTAGCATTTCCTGCTGCTCTATTACACTGCCTGCCTACCTTTAAGTAATCTGAAATAATTACCCCTAAATCCTTTTCCTCAGATGTTGAGGTTGGACTCTATCAAATATTCTGTACTCTGCACTTGGTTTTTACGTCCAAGAAGCATTATCTTGCACTTACTTTGCACTTAAAGCAGTTCGCAATCTGAAAATCACAGAGTAGATTTTGTCTTCTCAATATACACAAGTGGTATATAAGGCTGTGATGGATACATCAAAATGACCTGCACAATGGGAAGGATTTTTGAAACAGATGCGTGTATATCCAAGAGGTATATTCTCTTTCTATTCTCCATTATCTGTAACTCCAAACCACCATGTACGGTCTGTGCCTCGATCAGTGTTTGAACATTTTTCTATGTGTGGGTGCTTGCAAATACCTTTGGGGTATCATACATATTCATCATAGTCTAGAAAGCCAGTTGGTCACAGATACTGCAGACTCCGGAATATTGAAAGTACAGGCCAACAGTCCATCAAGAAACAGCTGCAAATTAACCCATGCGGTGTTGGCCTGCGCAACTGTTCCATGTCACTTGTCCCCTGGTGCTAGGATGATCAGCAACCCTTCCACAGTATTCAGCAGAAAGATTGACAGTGAGGCTGCTTCCAAAATTCTCGATACTAGTGGTGAGAATTTGCCCCCTACCTCCTTGTCAGCCCTCCCTGGATCAGATTTTATATGTTGCCCATCATCATGTAGAAAGGATAAATATCCAGGAAAACATGGTTGATCTGGCAAGTTGAATCTGACTGTATAAGACATAGGAAAATGTCAGAAAAGAGCAGAGGATGTTATGGACTACATTATAATAGGCACGTATTCAACAAACAATGAATTCAGACAAAAAATTGCCAACCCGTATGACGATCACCAAGTTTGAAAAGTGTTTCCACAATCAGTTATTTTGGCCTTCATGTTATGATTCAATAAGAACAACTGTTACATTATTAATTCCTTTACTTAGAATAATTCAACAAAAATTATGCTCTCTACAGACATCAGGTGGGTTTTATACAATGCTGACTAGTAATATGGAAATCTTGACCTCACCAACCCTATATTTGGGTGATTGAGGGAGGAACTCACACTGGGGCTGTCACAAATAGCATCAAGAACTGCACAGAACATAGGAAAAAAATCTACCGGGAAAGCTTTGTGCGTTTTCTTGTCAATTTACGCAGCAATTTCTACCTGGGGAAACGTACAAAGGATATTCAGAAGAAAGTTACTCTTTTTGTGGTTCTAGAGAAAAGATGATTAGAATGGAATAAAATAAAAATGTACTTACCAGAAACAAAATGCTGACGCAGTGGTAAAGTTGAAATTATTATTTTAAAAATGGGTAGAACGTTTAATATCTAAAGGAGAAGAAAAAAAAGCAGAAACAGGGTAATTGTGTCACAATTCAATAATACCTGTGTTAGTTATTGGTAATAAAGCTTTTTTTGGGGGGGGGGGGGTTTCCTGAACATTTTAAGGGCAAGACATATCAAGCATGGGTGCCCAAAAGGTAGACCCCAGATGTTTTAAAACTACAGCTTCCATTATGCGTTGTTATTCTAAAGGCATGCAAAGCATCATGGGAGGAATTATTCTACAACATCTAGGGATCTACATTTTGGGCACCCCTGCTACTTCCTGGCAGCATATGTAAAATTCATATAGTGAAAAAAAGGAAATCGATTAAAGTGGCTATGTCATCATCTGGGGTTTTTGCATAATAAAAATGAGCCCTGATGGTGACTGCTCTACTGGCACTGTGGTGGCCGAGGGGAGCAGGATAAAGTGAGTTTTACTTACCTGAACCTGTTCGTCCTCTTCAGCTCCTGGCCCTGCAGGATGCGCCACAAGCAGAGCCATTTCCCCTCAGTCATCACTGGTGATATTGGAGAACTTGAAAAGGCTTGACAAAAGGTAGTTCAGCCTTTCATCAAATTTTGTAAAGCATAGGCAAAATACCCTAAAGTCCCTAATTTGTCTTGGTATATGTTTCAGTGAAATTCCAACAGTCAATGTGAGTATTTCACAAAGATTCTAATAGCGGCGTGACGGAGCCGCTTCAACTAACGAAAATCCCACCTGGTTTCATTCATTTGTGTCTTTCACATAGCATAAACATGTTAAACTCTGCAAGGCAACACTTCAGCTCATGTCAGTAAGTAGGATATTAGTACCGTATATACTCGAGTATAAGTCGAGTTTTTCAGCACATTTTTTGTGCTGAAAAACCCCCACTCGACTTTTAATCGAGTCACTGTCTGTATTATGGCAGACAGTTGGGGGCTGGCAGGAAGCGTTTACTTACCTTTCCTGCAGCTCCTGTCAGCTCCCTTCTCCTCCGTTTCGGTCAGCTCCACTGTAAATCTTGCGAGAGGCGCGGCCGCTCCGCGCACTCACTACCTCCCTTATATACACTAAGCCCCCTATACACTCACTCTCTCATACTTTACAGCTCCTTGTCACATATATTACACCACAAACACAGCACAACTGAAACCAACCTAATACACAAAATGCCACACCACAATCAACTCACTCTACACAAACGCAATCTCAAGCAGGCTCCAAACACATGCACAATATGGTTTCCTGGCCCTTTTGTCATCTGGTATCCCAGTTATGGAGACACCAAAGACAAGTCACAAGCAAACACGGTGCAAGCATGTTAATAAATTTGCTTGCGCTGTGCAGATCAAATACAGGGCATATTGGAGTATGCTTGTCATTGGTGACGACAAAACAGCCCCTTTCTGACCCAATAGCCGTCACAGAGTCGTGCTGTGATTAAAAAATGCCCGGGACAAAGGTTTTCCCAGTCCGGCCCTGTATATAGGCATCTCAACAAGACCGGTTTCGGCAGGAAAACTCCTATTTCATGATTCTTCTCCAGCTGTTCCGACTTTGAAAGGGAACTGTCCCAAAACTTTATTTGCACAAGTACATCATTAGACACACTAGTTCTATGCTCAGGGCACTAAGACCATAGAGAGAGCTGAAGCTGCCCTATCTGCATGGTCTTCCCTTAGTGGGCCAATATGAGTGACTGCCAGGAAGTCTGGAGTGCATTCATAGCGGACCCTAAAGCAGGCACACCTTTAATGCACATGCCAACATGGAGATCAAAAGATCTCCTAGACCGGCCATGCTCCATCTCATTGTAACAAAGATGCAGCTGAGGCTATGACAGAGAGTGTGGCAATCAATTATCAGTGCAGATCTGGACAGTCAGTCCCTTTTTGTTCAGTCATGCTATAGAAGAGAATATATGGGGTAATGTGTGATTGGTGCATGGGAATGACAGGGAGAAGACATGGAGAGAGGAACAAAAGGTGGGAGTTGGAGAATATGAGAACAGAAAGTGAGGGTAGAGAATGAGGAGAGAGACAAAAAGTGAGGGGGAGAATTTTGAGAAAAACTGAATTGGAGGCAGGTTCCAAGTGCCCTTAGCGTAGCGCGAGCACGTCCAATTATGTACTTGTGCATTGCATTTGGAGACAGTTCACTGGTGTTCCCATAAATGGGACACAAGGTAAAAAAGCCAGGATAGAACTCGCACATCGGGATGTTGGGAGGAATGGTAGAGCTCAATGTGGCCACCTGCGTCACTTAACTAAATCAGCTAGAATACACCACCCCCCCACACATTTATTATAGTGTGAAATTGTGACCATACAAAGTTACCGTTCTAATCAGATGCCAAGGATTTAAATTGGAGTGGGACCCACTGTTAAAATAAAGAGCAAACATAAATCTGCCTCCTGGCTAGCAGCCTAGATATTTTATTCTAAGATCCTACTAATTAAAGAAAATTCAGCAGAGCCCTAGACAAATCTACGCCTGTCAAGAATTGCTTGTTCAGATTTGTTAGATGTTGTTTTCAAATCCGGAATTTGCTCAGCTGGCATAACGCACTCAAGAGAGACACACAAAAAGGAAAGAAAACTACACACACTACACTATGGCAGGACTATCAGCCACGAGGCTCACATTACTGTATCTCCTGGGAAAACTGCAGCAGGGAGATTTAGAGCTGTAGTCAGAAAAAGAATAAAAAACTTTAAAAAAAATGAATAATAAAACCCACCTGTTGGCTGCGGACCATTAATTTTTTTACCCATAATAACCTATAGGAAATAAAAAAATAATAATATACATACTGTTAAGGTTTAGGGAAATCTGCTCGTATCCTTCTTCACAAACATTTACTTAATCCTAATATAAGCAGAGCTGCCATCAGAAATCAGCCATCTATTCACACAGATACATACTCACAGACACACAGTACTACTCTCACACATATCCATATATATACACACGCATGCGCCTTTGTACCTGAGGAGGGTGCTTTCTTTTGGGTCCAGTGTGGAAGTAAGCCAGTAACTAAGTAAAACTTTACCCTGGTGGCGATTCGGCTGTATTCGTGGCATCTGAGTGCTATCTGGAGACTTTGGGCGCTCAGATCCAGGCAATCCGGGGATGTAAGATTTGTGGGGGTCCCTATTAATATTATGTATGTTTTGGGGGGGTTTTATGTTTTATATTTTGTACCTCTAGTGCCTTGGAGATATTAAGTTTAAGCAAAGTACACTTAATTATCTCTCAGACACAGAGACTCCTGTCTTACTATGTTACTGCTGGAGACCCCATGCTGTGGGTCTGTGTATATAAGCTGGCCACTGGGCCATAATAAATCTTCATCAAGTCTTGGCTGATGTTTGGGTAGCTCAGAGTTATAATCACTACATCACTTCGGACCTGGGAGACTTCAACAGATCTCCTCAGTAGAAGTATTGGGGATCTGTTACACCATTAAAAAAAAACATCTAAAGATATATCAATTCCATGCTACACATGGCTTCTTGCCAGAGATTTACAGGGAAGGACAAGGTTATGTGCAGCCTCGAGTTTTCAAACTATGGAATCATGTAAACTGTGGATTTCGCAAACTTGATGTGAAAACACAGTTCTGTCACTGGATGTCTATGTATATAGTATATGTGCATTAAAGGGACACTGTAGGAACACAGACCACTTCAGCTAATTGAAGTGGTCTGGGTGCTGTGACGCTTTTGCACTTAGTGCTGCAATGTAAAACATTGCAGTTCCAAGTCTGTCCTCTGTGGCTGCCTAACAGACAGCCACTACAGGGATTCCGGATTCCAAACGGACTTTTGGTACGTTATCTGACGCTGGAGGTCCGCATCAGATTTTCCAAATAGGAAAGTTTGATTAATGATTTCCTATGGGGAGGTCTAATGTGTGTGCGGCAATGCTGCGCATGCGCATTAGGTCTCCCCCGCCGGCTGACGTTGGTTGGGAAGGAGCGTTGGTGAAGCCTGACCCAGCACCAAGGGAAATCGGCGCTGGATTCAGGTAAGTGGTTGAAGGTTTTTCCCCGAATGGATAAATGCCAGAACATGAGAATCTAGGCACATGCTCCGTATGGAAGCGAAACAGGTAGACTAGCTATATCCCCTACTATATCAAAAACATATCAAATCAAAACAAACGAGTTTGTGCTGTAAGCAAATAGTATAATTTTCAGTGCTGATCATCTTCAGATGATCTGAAGATGTTGATGGGGTCGCCGGCCCGGGTTCCCCGGTACATGTGTTGGGCTGGAGGTCGGTTGCCCGCTGGGAGATAGGAAAGCCCAAAGATTTAAGGAAGGCAGGTGCTGTGGCAAGAGAGGAGATTTTGTGTACAGTTCCAATTAGTGTAACTACCAGGAACCTGGTGCAAGCGTTTGTTGTTGGGCTTGTATATTCATTACAGAGTCCTGTAGGTATGACACACCTTGCTTTATGTCTACTAATATCTTCATCCATGGCCTTCACCTTGTCTTAATGATTTCCACGTCAGCAGGTTTTTGATGTCCATGACCAGGTTTCGGAAATCCTGCTGTGTAACCGGTGCTGACCCATCTGGGTCCCCTGTGGTGGTTTGTGTGCCTGCTCTGGAGGTGAGTCAAGCAGCCTGTGGTCTGTTTGTACCTCTGTGGGAGTGCGTTCAGCCATTCCCGCCATTTTAGTTGGTGGTCGTTTCTGAAGCAGTGTCCTTATATCCCTGGCCCCCGAAGGTGGTTCCAGAGGAGGTTTTTGGGACCGCCGGATCATCGATGCAGGGTTAGTTGAGAGAGCGGCAAGGTATTCTTCCGTATCTGGATCCCCAGGGGATCAAAGTCGCATGGTAGTTACGACCAGTCAAGGTTTGGAGTGAGTCTGTAAGCCTCAGATTGGCATTTCTGTCTTTTCGCCTTAGCGGGCTGTAAAACCGGCATTTTGTGCTCTTGTGGGTCTTACTCTATGCAACGGTGACCAGGAGTAGGGCGTTTGAGTGACTCAGACCCCTACAATTAGGCCTTCATTCAGCATTTCACACGGAGTGGCGCGGAATGGTGACTACTCCGACTCGCATCAAGCTCCACCCCTGCTGAAGGGGCTTTAACCCCTTCAGCAACACGGGAGGGGGGCACTCCAGAAACCTATAGTGCCAGGAAAACGGGTCCCTTTAACCCCTTAAGGACACAACTTCTGGAATAAAAGGGAATCATGAAGGAATATTGTCATGTGTGTCCTTAAGGGGTTAATAATTATCCATGCAATCATACTCATAAAAATAATTAAGAAAAATTTTAAACGAACAATTATTATATTACTTCTCCTACTTTAAAATGTCACAGTATTTTTAAATGTATCCATGTACTAACTCAAATCTTATCTGTGGGAATAGATCTAAAACTAGTTGTTGGTAATGATAATTATATATATATTTTTTTCCAGCTAAACCTCCACAGCAAAAATAGGAAAGAGGATGAAGATGACATAGATCTTATTTGGCAGATGTAATTCCCTTAGGGATAGATGGGCTTTTCAATCTATCTAGTGTACAACTCACATAACCACAGAGGAAGCTTCAAAACACATCTCTCTTTTGCAGTATCTAATCATTCTAAACGTTTTGGTCTTTATATACATATGTATACACACACACACATTAACCCCTTAAGGACCGCTGATGGTTCAGGACCGTCATCAGAAACATCCCCTACTGAACCGCCATAACGGTAATATTAACTTACCTGATTGCCGCCATTCCCCCGCCGGTGATCGGCATTGCTCCCGGTCTGGGGGAACTGCTTGACAGCCCAGACAGTCCCCCTTTGGCGAATTAGGCTCCCACGGCCATGTGATCGCTCTAACAGTGCGATCACATGGCCGCAATAAGCGGCCGTGAATCTGTCTGCAGTCCCACTGCATCTGTAAAATAAAAAATAGTTAATAAATAAAAATATAATTATATATGTGTGTGTATGTATGTATATATATATATATATATATATATATATATATATATATATATATATATACACACACACACACACACACAAATATATTGATTGTGTTGGCACTCTATTACTGGGTGGTGCAGGTATTAGAGGTATTCCCCATGAAGACCTCAATAATATATACAAAAATCTATTAATTTAATACCACACTCATATGCATAACAATATGCATAAAAAAGAAGAATCGCTGTTTAATTATGCAAAAAAGAATGAATTTATTATACACGGATTATATACAAATTCATAAATATCGAGAAAATCACTACTGTATTTTGATGATCTCTCTATCAATTCATCTATAGTACACACGATAGGAATTCATAGTATTTACATCCCAGATTATATACAGCTATATACAGTCCATAGACACCACATTTATGAAGTTTTGAAAGTTCATAAATGTTCAGGTGGATCCACCGTTTAATTATTCTCTTTGTTTGAAAAATGTTGCAGAAAAATATATGTACAGAACTGAAAAAAAACAGAAAATAATTTAAAATTGGAAAAATATAAACAAAGAAATAAAAAAAATGAAAAGATAAAAAAATGAAAAAATTATAATGGAACGTTCACTATATAAGTAGTAGAGAATTGGTTGGATCTCACCACTTGAAGATTTCCACCCTGGGGCTTGAATTATTCACTGACCGCAAGATGTCCAATAGCTGTTAGGTGTGTGAAGTATATCAACAGTGTCCCTCAGTCTGGAAGACAGGATGCAATCCTACTGTAGTCCGTACAGCACTTGTAGTCCCAAAGCTCCCTGGGTCACGTATTATTGCTGGGCATGTATCACTGCTAGCCTGATCTCATTTGCGTCGTGCGCTGTATGTGTAACTGCTGGGCTGCGCGCTCGGGACGAACCTGTCCCTTCGATGGCCCCTGGACACAAAATTTAAATAGCAGCGTACATATAGGTATTTTTGGCGGCAAACAGCCGACTTCCGTGTTCACATGATGACGCCATCGTGCGTCATAACGTTATGCACGATGACATCTATAAAATCAACTTTATCTAACACTGTTACACATAACACTTTACAATTGCATTTAGGTCATGGTTTACCTAATCTAGGCATTAAAGCGGCTAATGTGTAAACTTAGCTGAAAAAAGGAAAAAGCAACAGAGAGGGAGGGAATGCACATGACATATCCATACATAAGAGAGTCCATAAGGTCTTAAAGAATCTATTTCTCCAACCAGGAGTTGTATTGCCATTTTATTATATATGCGACCATACGGTTTGTCCATAACTAGACTGGAATGTGTCACTCTATGGTAATGAGGAAAGAATATTTGAAAGCACATTAAAGAGCAAGCTACTGTGACTAAATGTGTCACTGAATAATGTTGGGGTCAATATTGTTTTAATGTGCTTGATATTTTTGGGTGTATAGGTTAATTACTTTTTACAAAGAGGGATGATATCTATATCACCATTAATCATATATCCCAAATAGCTCAACAATGATATCCACTGTGGATGTAATGATTTGATAAATAAGTGATCTATGGTTGCTCACCTGCAGCTGGAGTTCAGGGGGTGAATGTGTAGTAATGAGCAAAAAAATCTACAGAAAAAATAATACTACAAACGATTAGTGGATGTAAATAATAGTTTAAAAAAAAAATTCTCATACTGTCGAGACTTAATGTAACTTACCAGTCGTGTAGTGTCCCCGAGTATCCCGGGATACCCAATATGAGGGACCCTGTATAATATATGCCAGGTAGCGGACCTTCGCAGGTCAAAATGTTGCCGAAAAAGAGGATCGGACCAATGCTGGTCTAATGGAAGCACTGTAAGGAGCATAAGGTACAAATCAGCTTACGTTAATCATTCTAAATTGAAAGAATATATCAGTAGGACTCATGATTATAAGAAATGCTTCAAATCGTAGTCCTCATTGAGCCCTGAGGGTGACAGTGTCTCTAGGATACTAATCTACTTAGTTTCCTTCTGTAAAAGAAGTCTCTTTCTGTCTCCCCCTCTCTGCAGTGGAGGTACTCTATCGATGACCTGAAATCTTAATTGATTAACTCCGTGGCCTTGAGTCTTAAAATGTCTGGCCACCAGTGCCTCACTAACTCCTCGTTGTAAAGCTGCCCTGATACTCCTTTTGTGCTCCCCTATATGCTCTTTGACAGGTCAGATCGTCTTCCCCACGTATACATACCCACACGGACAATTTAGGATGTACACAACAAAATCAGAAGTACAAGTATAAAAGCCAATAACAATTTTTTTTTTTACCTGTTCTGGGGTGAACAAAGTGTTCACCCTTGACCACACTGCTGCAGTGTGAGCAACCTAGACAGAGGAAAAATTTAGTCTGTCTCGTTGAACTGCCAATGTCTGATTTAATCAGTAGGTCCTTAAGGTTGGGAGCCCTTTGGTATGAAAAGAGTGGTGGATTTTAAAACTCTAAGGGCAATTGTGCATCTCCTGCGAAGAGTTGCCAGTGTTTCATTATGACTTTACGTATATCTTTATTAAGTGGAGTATATGGGGATATGAAGGCTATTCTATCCATCTTATTGTCTTTTCTAGGGCCATATAGTCTCTTGACGCGTCAAATTTTGGACCCTTTCTCTCTGAGTTTGAATCATTTGTGCAGGGTAACCCCTTTCCATGAATTTCTGTGACATGATGTCCTATCCTGTCATCACTTTCTCTTCCTGAGATGATGTTCTTTTGATCCTTAGCAGCTGACTGTATGGCAGACTATTCTTTAAATGTGTAGGATGATAGCTATTATACATAAGTAGATTATTTCGGTCAGTTGGTTTTGTAAAAAGGTCACTGTGTAGTCAGTCACATAGTCTCTGTACCTGGACATCTAAAAATAGAACCGTCACCTTGTCACAGTACATCGTAAATTTGATATTAGGGTCTCGTTCAATCAGTGAGTTAAAGAATTCTTGTAATTGGGCCCTATTGCCACCCCAACACATCACCAATATAATGTCTCCACACCAAACACTTGGTGTAGAGAGGATGGTTGTAAATGCATATCTCTTCCATGTGATTCATGTAGATATTAGCATATGTCTGGGCGACATTAGAGCCCATGGCTGTGCCTTTGATTTGTTTATAATATTTATCCCCAAACAGGAAGTAATTTTCTGTTAGAATAAATCTTAGAAGTTCAATAATCTACTTCTCTTTGTTGTGTCAAGCTCGGGTCCCTATCTAGTGTCCAGTCCACAGCGTCCAACCCTCTTTGATGGTCTATTAAGGAGTACAAAGATTGATATATATCATATTTAGACATATATCTATATAATATATGTCTAAATATCTTGTACATACAATGTCATACTAAGTGTATTAATATACATATTAATATAAAAATACACTCAGAATTAAATTACACATGTATATATATATATATATATATATATATAAAACTATATATTGTAGATATATATTATAATAAAAAATAAGTAAAAAAATAAAAAATGTAAAAATAATTTAAAAAAATTATATATATCTATAGTGTAATTTTATTCTAACTATATTTTGATATTAATATATATATATATTTGTATCAAAATACACTTAGAATGAAAATATATATATCTATGTATATATAAATAAAAAAAAATACGAAAAAATAAATATATATATAATACATAACTGATTTAATAACTATACACATAGACTTAAAAAATATAAACATGTATATATATTTAAATTCTATGTTCATATTTATGTAATATTTTTGACAATCCAGGCTGAAAGTCCAGAGAATTTAATTTGCTAG